AATTGGCTTCTGTTGGACAAAAGAGATCATAGGGAGTCATGTGCAGAGACAGACCTTTACCTTTAGGAAACTCACCTCTGATAATGTCTTGCTCTCCTCTGGGTTGCAGGCTAACCAGGTGCAGCAGAAGGATGACACACAATAAGCTTAAACCTAATTGCTAGGAAATAATCTAAGTATCTTGGTCATCTCAAAACCAGGAAGAAATCAGAAACCCAGAGAGAAATGCAGTGTCTATTAATCCTGGGACCATTAGGTATATTGCTGGTTTTGCAGCCTTGCACATGATACCAATTTAGGATGTTCTGCAATGTTGACGCATATAAGCAAAGTCAAAATGACTGTAATTTCTGGCTCCCCTTTGCCCCAGGGATCATGTTGAGTAGGTGGGGGGTATTGTTCTTAGCCTGACAGAAAATTTTTCCACCCATGGCCAAAGGTGGAAGTTCACTTTAGTGGCTGGAAGTCTGAGTCTTTCAGCCCAGTTACATCACAGTTACTAGAAGGCTTTTCATTTAATGGAGTTTATGAACCTGGCAGTTGTGGGAGAGGGACAGTTCTGCACTGACCTTTTGCAAATTAAATATGCAGCTGTACTAAAATCAAGTGTTTCATGAAAACACATTTAATTTAAATTATGTATATTCATTTTTTTTCAATGGAAAATAGGAATGAAAAACATTTCATTTTGACCTTTTGTGTATGGTTTTTTTTGCATCTCTCAAAATGTCACAAATTAAAATAGCAGATTCCAGAGATGCTTGGATTTTATGTTGACACTCCTCTCAGCTTTCTGACTGTTTCCCAAGATTCCCCAGTTTTCCAAAATGTCAAAAAACATCTTTTTAGGGAGCAAATAGCATTGTCATCTTTACCCTTAACTCCTGTAACCCTGGAAGATGCTCCAATGCCGCAGGTTCTTTCCTGCTGTTCTGAAAAACATGCTCAAAGTTTATTCCTGGCCCATTCTAAACTGGGGTTTAGAACGGTCTTTGTGATCTTCCTTGGATGCTCCTGTCATAGATATGGCAAGATAATGATACCAATGATTTTGCATTTAACAACATCTCTATAATCTACAGGCAATAATTTACTCTGGGTTAGTGACTGCCATAAAATACAGAATTAAAAGACTCTTTTCTACCTGTTCCTGAAAAGGAAATAAAGAAGTTGCATCACTGTCTGCAATAATTAACAATTCAGTTATCCGTCATCATAAACTGTTCTCTCTTTTATAGTACATTTATGACCTATACAGTTTGCACTTACAATTATGGGATGGAACAGATGGTGGAAGGCTTATTTCAGAATGATGTGTTCAATAAAATAACCTACTCTGGTCTGCCAAGTGATTGTTAACTGTGAACCCAATTTGATACTGAAGAGAGATATTTATTATTTCTCTTTAAGTCCATCTGAAAGAAACAGAGCTTTGAGAAGTGGACACTATATTGAGTGAGAAGCTACAACAATAGTGCTGCTTATGTTCCAGATGGGAAAGCACTGTTGAGTTGTGCAGCTGTGCATAGTGCTGCTTATGTTCCAGATGGGAAAGCACCGAAGAGTTGTGCAGCTGTGACAGAAAGAAATTCAGCGAAAGATAAATTGTGGACCAACACAATTTTCTAATCTAAGAAATGTTTCGATTCTTTATTCAATTTGAAGCTCAATGCCACTTAAAATGTGGCTCTAGCCAGCTTCTACCTATGTGCAGACTCTTCCTATGATCTGTTGCCTTGGGTAGCTGGGTTGAATAACAGTAGTTTCACCACTGAAAATGGGAATCTCTGTTCAGGCAGAACATATATCTTCACAATGGATCACAACTTACTCAGTAAAATTGTCTTCCTCTGGTCCAAACAAGTGTTTACTTCTGCTGTTGCTTCTGCAAATAAGAGGTTTCATGGTGTAACTCAGAATGATCACTTAAACATGAATTTGAGTTGGCTCTTGTCTCCTTTTTTCTTTTCTGTCTTGTGAGAAGTTGCAGACTTGCACCAGATCAAAAATAGGGAAAATATCTGAAACTGTGAACTGTGAAAACTTTTGGAGCATTTCCTGTACCACTCTGATTTCAGGTTGAAACTCATTATTTTTGACCTAGCAAGTAAATCTTTATAATTGCACATTTCTCAGATCCTCTGCCCTCCCTTAAACATCCACCCCAACTTGTTAAATCTAGTTGTAAATTAAACTAGTCTGTACCTTTTTCAGGGCATGCATTGTCTTCAAAAGGAGCTAACCAGAGCTCAGCAGGACAGACTCCTCATGCAGGTGCAGCTGTGCACCTACACTGGGTTTATCACAGCTGCACTTCTCTCCATTAATCTGCCTTCAGCCCAGCTGAAAACTTTCCTGTCCTAGGCAGGTGTGGGTATTTTATTATTATTTCTTTGCTTTGCTGTTACTAGAGTCCTCTAGGTAAAATTATTTCTCCTGCCAAGTTTAAAGGGGCAAGGCTGCTGAGGGAACATCAAGCCCCATGTTTGTTCTGAGACTTTGGACACAGCAAGACAGGTGTGATCCTGGGGGACAGGCATGTTGAGGCTTTGCTTGTTGGGAAGAGAGGACTAAGTAGGGGCCTCAAGCTCCCTGGAGATGGTGATGCTTTTTCATTAGAGTTGGGGGGAACCAAAGACCAGTGAATCTTTGGCTTTGCTTTCTTAATGCATTGTACAAGTTGGTGTGGGGGATAGCTCTGCAGGGAACCTAAGGGGGAACACTGAAACAGCCACTGCCTCTTTTTGGTGTTTTCTCCCTGGCTCTTGCCGAGTTCCTAGAATACTGCTGGAGCTTCTTGTTCTAGTCATGGCCTACAGAGAGTAAAACCACAGATCCCCTCCACTGCTGAGAGCTAATCCAACCAGTTAATTAAAGAGTCCATTGAACTGTCAAAAACAGCAGGAGGTGCAGAAGGAGTTGTCTCCAAATTGGTCATCATCACAATTAAAGCGCCATTTGGCAAGAATGTGAATAACCCCCAGCGGGGCCTCTTTGTACGTGGAAACGCCTTTTCAGGATTGGGCTTTAATGCTGGGTGATGGTGTTTATGACCTGAGTAAAGCTGCCTGGTGAAATGACAGTAACACTGGCCACCAGTTCTGGGAGGGGTCCGGTGGAGAGGGCAGGGTCAGCCTAGGATGCCATTTGTAATGGAGCTTGGTGGCTTAAGGCGCCAGCAGATACAAACCCCACGGAAGGAGCTCCCTGCAGGCAGCAAAGCTGAGCGACCAGTCTGCTGCAGATCATTTAATACATTTAAAACTTCACAAATTCTTTTCCTGCTTATATATGAGGGCTTCCTCAGATGTATTCATTACTCAAAACTACTTGACAAATTTATCCTGAAATTCAGCCCCCGGGGGCAGGTCCAAGCGCTGTTTCCTACTTGGGGTCCTTGGGATAAACCCCGTGGGGCTTGGAGGAGTGTGAGTTCCTGCAGGGGAGCCCAACATGAGTTGTGGGTGCAGCTGTGCTTCCTTTCTGAAACTTGCTTCCCATAGATACTGATGCCTGAAAAATGTGCTTTATTTTCAGAGAGCACATCAGTTAAGATGTGATGCTGTGAAAAAACCCAGGGCTGGTATGATCCTGTCTTTTCTCTGATGCTAAATTGGTGCCTGGTAACTGGCAGGTAGCTTTGAATTTTCATTTGAAGGGAAAATCTACAGTATGGTGAAAACAATCATGGTAACACAAAAGCCAGCCAGCTGAGGACTCCTTTCTTTAGCAGTTTCCTGGAAATATTGGTAAGAATTTTAGGAACAATGTGGCAGTACCCGAGCCAGCCATCACCCCTGCAGTGCAGCTTTCACACCCTGCATACAAACGCTCTTTCCTCCTCTCCTACCCATCCTCTTTTCCCACAGGGTAAACAGCTGGAAGTGTTGAGCTAACTGCCAGAGGCTTCAGACAGACACTTTGTGCCACAAGAGATCCTGGGACACCTTAATGACTTCTTTTAGCTTAAAGCATCTTTGTAACAAACGGCATCTCCTGCTAAATTGCTGATCTTGCACAACTGTTTTTTGACTACTGCAGAAGAAGAAAGGTTTGGCTCTTTGGATATCCTGTTTGAAGTCAGCTTTCAGTGCCTGTCTGTTGTGCTTCTGAGCAAGTCCTGAGTTGCTCTGAACCATGTCTGTTTTGTTCAGAGAGCAGGGGGGTCTCCAGGCTCTCATCCTCTGTGTCACAATTTGTAGCAGAGACTTTGCCATGTGAGGGGTCTCTGGGCTGGATTACCTCACACCATGTGCCATGTCTGACTTGATATATAAAATTATAAGTGTTATGACTTGTATGCTTCATGGTTGTCTAATCAAAATGTCTGTTCAGTGTTAGATGCAAAAAGTCTTTTCTCATTTCTTACATCAAGTCTGTATCTGGTTGGTAGAACTAGCAGTCTTTAACATTTATGATCATTATTTAAAGGAATGGAGTACTAAAGGGGTATGTTTAATAGATATATCTGCACATACAGTCACCTGTATTAAGGCAACCAAGTCTGACCATGTTGAAAAACAGCATCTAGTACTTTAGAGGGTAAATTCCTCCAGGAATATTCACCAGGGCTAAATCACACAGGCAGTTTATACCCTGTCTTTCATTTTGAGTCCATGGCTGATCTACTGGAACAAATGGATACCTCATTTGTAGGGTATTCAGATCACCTACCTCAGACATTTCAGTGGTATTCTAAGCACCTTAATTATGGTTTCTTAGTCTCTGGTTTCTTTTCCTTTCACTGCCAGCTGCACCTTAGATACAAGAAAACCAACAGGCTCTTGGTTTTCAGTGATTTCCTTGACTGCATCAAATGGAAGATTTGGTTTCCTGTTGTAGAGCAGACTAGGAATTCACATTTGCTTAACATGGGATCAGGATATTTGGAAGATATATTGTCTTAAGATGTACTTCTGGGTTTGCAAGAACTCACTTTACATAAGCTTCTCCTCTTAACTAGCACTAACTAATCTTTCCTTATGTTTTTCCACTCCCAGGTACACTGTCTTACGTAACGGGCACCATCAGGAACATGAGAAGCTTCCCATCCACAATGACCCTGAATCCCAAGAGTCCTGTTTTTAGTCATGGTCCTAGGAATGTCTCAGCTGAAGAAATTAATTCCTTTTGAGGTACCCAAAGGATTAATGGACAACAGGACTTTATGAAAACTCATGCATCAGCACTATCATGGTGCTTCCTACACTGACTTCCTATGAATGTCCAGGTCGATGGGGGCACAGGAAGATACATGAGTAGAATGGCTGAGGTGACTCTCCTGTTTCTCCAAGAACAGCTGGGCTATATGACCGTGTCAGAGCCTCCCTCCAGGAGAGCACTGGTTACTGTCAATGTAAGGAAACAGCACAGATACAAACCACCCAGTGCAGGGACTCCTGTTAATCCTTTCCAGCTGCCATCTGTGTAAAAGCCACCTCTCTGTCCTGTGACACCACCATCTTAAAGATTACAAGTTCTGGCTAAGACCTATCCCACTGTCAGACTAAACATCTGCACCAGATGCCACCAGTGAGTAGGTGCTGCCAGCAGAGAACCAGCTCCACGTTGTCTTCAGCCAAATCAAATATTTGCCTTTTGATTATAGTTCCTCATGAAAGGTGATTCACCCAGCTGCTGATTCACCCTGCCCTGCAGAGCTTTCTTTGTAAATGCTGTCATTGTGTTTCCTGGCCAAGTTCATTGGCAGAAGACTCACAGGGTGTACCTGGTGCCTGACAAGCTGGAGTAGGACCTGCAGAGCTGTTTCCCTGCCAGCCCCACTGCAGCCCAGCCCCACTGCTGGCAGCCAGTGGCCAACCTCTGCCACTCGGGGGCCAGTGGATGGGATGTGGCCCCCAGCCCCAGGCAAGCTGCCAGCACTGTCCTCACCTGAGCAAACTGTGGCCATTCTTACCAAAAACAAAGGTTGGTCAAGAGACAGAGTCAGTCTGGAATAGATCACTAAGTGCCATCTTGGAAAACATACCATCTAAAAGAGTTTTTTAGCTACGTGAGGAAGACAGACTTCTACTTACGATTTCCATCTTTATTTTTCTATTGGTTCTGTTCTCTTCCAGTTGAGGCATGAAGTTTCAAGACCTTCAAATATCACCACATGCACCTCTCTGCAAAGATCTCAGTCCTTAGCTGCTTCCCGCATGTAGATGTTGCTGTGTTCCTTGTGAGCTGCTTCCACCCTTGCATGGAAAGGGCAGGCAAGGCTGTAGACTTCAGAACACTGGGAAAATTATTTTCATGCAGGGGGAAATATGCAGGATCAAGACTACAAGTCTCTACCTTTTCAAATGAAGATCTAACCCAGAAATGCCACTCCAAGCCTAGAAAATAAAATTGTACTTTGTTATATTGTGTAATCATGTACAGATATTTTTAATGTAAAAAGAAAAGGTGACATTATTTATTATTTTTTATCAGGAACGTGTGTTTTTTTTTCATTAAAGGCTTCTATACCCAGGAGCTTAACATTATCTGTATTATGATTTAGTAATGTTTCTGTTGCTATGTGACAGGTATTTACTGTAAACAAACAAACAAATCCTGCTTTGAACAAACAAAAATGTTGCTCAGTAGGAAAAAAAAAAAAGTGCATGATAAGAACAACTGGCTTCCTTGCCTTGGTGTCTGACTTCTTTACATACCTTCTTCCACATAAAAAAGTCACTAATAATGCTTTCCATCATTTTCCTTTATGATATAAAAGGACACTGGGCAGAAACAGACACCAATGTAGAAAATTGCTGGCAGTTAGAAAGAGACAAACTATTGGTATTTGTGGTGATTGGTGCTGATGAACATGAGCTCTTTGCAAAGAGTTGGTGATGCAATTTGAGCTAATTCCTGGTTCATCATCAGGAGCAGTTCAGCAATGATCCGTTTTTACAGGGCTGTGTTCCCAAAAGAACTTGCTATCAGTTCAGCTCTGTTGTTACCAGGGCAGTAAGTGAAAAAAAACAAGCCAGTATTGAAAGTTTTGGAAAAAAGTCCATCCAGGACCACTTCAGTACACCTCTGTGGAACTGCTCACATGGGGTTTTGCCAGGATTTGGGTATACAAGACTGCAGAACAGGTTGTCTTAGTTTTACCTCAAGTACCAAAGAAATCCTATAAAATGTCCCTATTAAAAGGCATAAAAATATTGGTTTGAATTTTCTCAGAGTGATGTGGAAACGGCAGCATGGGGATGCAATAGTGATGGTGTTCTTTGTTTCCACTGTTGTCCTTGAAGTGTTGCTTTATCCTATATTTTTATGTGCTTTAGTAATATAACTCAATTTAAAATTAACTTCTCAACCCTGAATTTTACTCATGAGCAAAAGGCTCTTTCAGTGGGATCAGTAGCACACTAGCCAAAATGGTTAACAGCTCTGATTGGAAAAAAGGTTCCACTTCCAAACAACATATTTGAATGAAATACCAAACATGAAATGTCCATGTTCTGTCTCATGTCTGGCTAACTGCTCATTGGACCCACTAAGCCTGTCATGAACCACCTGGCAGCTCCTGCTTAATAACTCAATAACCTCAGCAATGTTTCCAGCAAATGACAGTGTCCATCATCAATAACGTTAGTATTTCTGTGGAAAAGAAGCTGTCTCATGGAAAGGACCCGTGCTTGATTTCCTTTGCTAAAGGCAGCTGCTCCTGTAGCCTCTGAGTTCATCTTCCCACTGACCATTTTGGCCAGCAGTGTCAGAGACTTTGCCTGTGCTGAATAATGTGTAACACATTGGCTGTTTCTAAGAACAAAAAAATCCTCTATGTATATTGCAGTAAATTCCAACTCATGCTAACTTCTTGTACTGTTTTCATTCAAAACACAGGGTGCTACCAAGCAATACCTTGCATATACTCAAACATATGTACTTGCATATATACCAAGCACCTGCCTTGCATATACTCAAACAGCTCTAACAGCAAGGGAGATTCTGGGCTCATTGCTTTGAAAATACTGGTGAGATCTTGGCTTATGATAGAAGCTCCTAATGTTTATCTACCAGAACAATCCTGCCTCCTGCACCATCTGTCTTTCTTCCCACAGTTTTGCTCAGTTACTGAGCCCTCTTTCTCCCTGACCTGGGCTGTGTCCACCTCACCTCTCACTACTTGCACTGAGAGATGTCACCACTACAGGCATCACTTTCAAGGCAGGCATTTGCAAATGGGGAGTCAGATAAAATCTTATGACTCTGCTCCTCTGAGTTTCCCAGTGAATTTGACTCAAAAAGGATACACCTTTCTTCCCCTCTTTCCATCTCTTTCCCACCATCTCTCACAGATTTTCTTTAATAACCATGTATTTCTTCACATAAATATACTAGTACTCTTCGGCAAATTATTACACCATCACATTTATGTCCTGGGAACATTTTACTTTTTATTTTTTAATGCAGTAAGCCTTCGAAGTGTTAAACCTGATGCTGCTCTAGCTGTTTTCTTGGATTACAACTGATTACACTTTTCCAAGCCAGAAGTAATGTGCTACCAACACAGCCAGTTAATAAATTGGCTGGCTGGGTCTTTGCTAAATTGTCATCAGCAGGCTGCTCTGTCAACCCAGTTGCATTTCCATAGCTTTTTTTTTTTTTTTTTTTTTTTCTAGGCTCCAGAAGCACTTTTGAGATTTTGCATAACATTTTTTAGCAGTTTATATGTCCAGACAAGTAAACTCAAAGCTGTGTTGAGGTTACTTGTGCTGAAAGAGGGAAGCAGAGCAGCAGGCTCACTGCCTCCAGCTTGAAAACCCCATCTAACACTAAAACTGTGGGCCACCTGAGTTTAAGTGGGCTCTTGACAGTTTCAGGGTGCAAAACCCATCCTTTCCACTGAACAGCTTTCCATGTCCCTGATACTCAAGTCTACTGAGATAGAAACAAAGTCACAGTCATGCTGCAAAGTGAAAAAAATCCAGACGTAATAAACACGCCAACAATGGGAAGCTGTGTTCACAAAACAGAAGCTCCAAGAAAGAGTGCACTAAAGAGGCCATACACTTTAATTAGCTGATGATCAAGACCGTCTGGAGCGGTGTGAAGCAATAACTGGATGATACACACACTGTAAACGTCAGTGCTTGAGGCAGTCAGCAGCTGTTTTGCTTAGTGAGATGTATGGAGATTCAGCTGCAGCCCAAGTGTCGTGCTCATAAACACGATGCAGACAGATGAGCTCTCATGGAGAAAAATACTTCCACATTTATCCTTCATGGTTCTTTCAAACCCTGAATATATTTTCAGTTTTTAGGCTTGTAAAAGGCAATGAAAGTAAAGGAGAAACAGTATCTCAGCAGAATTGGAAAAATGCTTTCAATAAACTCTCAAAACCCGTTTCTTGTAGTTCACAAATCTAATACTTGACCTGCTTCTAATTGCAGGATCTGACACCTGACTAAGCACAACAAGAAATGAACATATTTACCACAGTGATTTAAAAATGAAGACAATAGCTTCCATTTGCATTATACCTTAGCACATTGCCTTTGTGCCTACCCTCCAGCTGTGGTGTGTTAGCAGAGCTGAGAAGGGGCTCTTGGTGGGACTGATTGTGGTGGAGCTGAGGGGTATGTGTAGAGATGCATGGGAAGCCCTTATTCACTTCTCTCCCACATAATACCTGGCTCCAATCTACCTTTTGAACACTGAACTTGTCTGAAGGCTAAACCAGGCCCTCAGTCTCAATATAAAAGTGTACACTTCAAGAGGGCTGTGTCCATAATGTGCACATCTGGAGGACCTGAGCAGGAAAAACAAACTAGGCACAGAGAAAGCCACTTTCTCAGTGCTCTGCTCTGAACATTTCTAGTCACAAGCAGATAACAAAGCACATACAATCATTTTTTACTTCCAGAGATACTGATTTACTTGCAATCATAGGAGCCCACGCCTTGGCCTAACAAACCTACCTGAAGGAGCTCCAGGATCAAGGGTGATTGTCATGCTGACCTAGCTTGCAGAATGAGTGCAATCAAAACGGACTCACATGAACAATGAAGCTATTATTAGGGTCACCTTGATTTTTAGCAGTATGAATACCTGGCTCCAGAGCATCTGTTTTTCTTTTTGGAAAC